CTGACATCCAAGCCAGATTTCTGTGTGGCGTGGTTTGGTGTGTGTGGTGTGTGTGGTATGTATGTGGTGTGTATGTATGTGTGTGGTCTGGGTCCCTAAGGCTCTCCTCCGGGGGCGTGGCCTGTGCTGGAGGCACCCCAGGACCCAGGTGGCTGGCTGCGTCCCTGGGGCCGGCTGTGGCGGCCGAAACCCGTGGGCTGGGAACCAGGCAGGGCGCCCGGAAGCTGGACCGTCAGCCCTCCATCCCTGGCCCGGCCTGCCACCCGTGTCCACCTGTGTCCCCTGCGTCCCGTGTCCCGTCCCTGTTCCCTGTCCAGTGTCCACGTGTCCAGTCCCATCTCCCGTCCCATGTCTCCGTCCCGTGTCCCCGCCCTGTGGCCCTGTCCCGTGTCCCCGCCTTGTGGCCCTGTCCCGTGTCCCCGCCCCGTGTCCCCACCATGTTGCGCCCCGTGTTCGTACCTTGTCCCCGCCCCATGGCCCCGCCCTGTGGCCCCCGCCTAGTGTCTCTGTCCATGTGTCCAGTCCCGTCTCCCGTCCCATGTCCCCGTCCCGTGTCCCCATCCCGTGTCCCCATCCCGTGTCCCCGCCCCGTGTCCCCATCCCGTGTCCCCGCCCCGTGTCCCCGCCCCGTGTCCCCGCCCCGTGTCCCCGCCCCGTGTCCCCATCCCGTGTCCCCGCCCCTTGTCCCCACCCCGTGTCCCCATCCCGTGTCCCCATCCCGTGTCCCCGCCCCATGTTCCCATCCCGTGTCCCCGCCCCGTGTCCCCATCCCGTGTCCCCGCCCCCTGTCCCCATCCCGTGTCCCCATCCCGTGTCCCCATCCCGTGTCCCCGCCCCGCGTCCCCGCCCCGTGTCCCCATCCCGTGTCCCCGCCCTGTGTCCCCATCCCGTGTCCCCATCCCGTGTCCCCATCCCGTGTCCCCACCCCATGTCCCCATCCCGTGTCCCCGCCCCGTGTCCCCATCCTGTGTCTCCACCCCGTGTCCCCGCCCCGTGTCCCCATCCCGTGTCCCCGCCCCGTGTCCCCATCCCGTGTCTCCGCCCCGTGTCCCCGCCCCGTGTCCCCATCCCGTGTCCCTGCCCCGTGTCCCCATCCCGTGTCCCCATCCCGTGTCCCCGCCCCGTGTCCCCATCCCGTGTCCCCGCCCCGTGTCCCCATCCCGTGTCCCCGCCCCGTGTCCTCATCCCGTGTCCCTGCCCCGTGTCCTGCCCCATGTCCCCTTCTCCCTGACCTGCCCTCCGAGTCTACATCTCCCGTCCCTAACAGGCCCAGCGCTGCCCCTCTGGCCGGACCGAGCCCAGGCAGGATGCGGCAGCCATGCCAGCTGGGACCCTGGCAGCTTTGACATTTCCGCTCACCCCTCCTGACCCCACCTCACCCCTCCTCACCTCACCCCCCCCACCCCACCCAGCTCTCCTCACCCCACCCCTCCACATCCATCCTCACTCCACCCCTCCTCACCCCTCCTGACCCCACCCCTCTCACCCCTCCTGACTTCACCCCTCCTCATCCATCCTCACTCCACCCCTCCTCATCCCACCCCACCCTACACCTCCTCATCCATCCCCACCCCTCCTCACCCCACCAGGATCTTACCCATGTGGGCGAGGGGAACCTGCAATGGGTCTATCTCCACTCGGGACTTAAAACATCAAACAAAGTGGATTGATCTATGGACTGTTTGGATAATTACCAATAGGAGACTAATTCTTCCAGGAAATTGACTTGGGATTTTAAAACTACCTCGAATAACACCAAGTGGTATGTGTTCACTTGTGTGTGCATGCATGTGTGTGCACAAGTCTGTGCTGGGTGAACATGCATGTGGGTACATGTGGTATATGTGTGCACGTGTGTGCGTGTGCATGTGCCAGTACTGGAGTTTGACCTGAGGACCTCACACTCTGGCTTAGCTTTGTTTCACACAAGACTATTACTCTCTCACTTGAGTCACACACTTGTGGCTTTTTGCTATTAATTTAAGAGACTCTCAGATTTGCCTGCCTGAGCTGGCTTTAAACTGTGGTCCACAAATCTCAGCCTGCTAAGTAGGATTAAAGGCGTGAGCCACCAGTGCCTGGCTTCCAAAGAATACCTTTAAAAAGAGAATAGCTAGTCGCAAGCTGGTGGCTCATGCCTGTAATCCTAGCTACTCCGGAAGCTGAGATCTGAGGATTGTGGTTCAAAGCCAGCCCGGGCAGGAAAGTCCATAAGACTCTTATCTTCAACAAACCACCAGAAAACTGGAAGTGGTGCTATGGCTGAAGTGGTAGAGCGCTCTCCTTGAGCTGAAGAGCTGAGGGACAGCGCCCAGGCCTAGAGGTCAAGCCTCACCACCACCACCACCAACCACCAAAAAAAATGACTAGAAATAGTCAGTAAATGACTGATATAGTGACTGCAGTTTGGTTTGTTCTGCCCCTCAGAGACCTGATGCACAGTGCTGTTTCTGGGCTTGCTGCTGTGAGGAGGGTGGGAAGTTCGGGGTCACCATGGGGCCTGGGACTCATACCTCTCTTCCTTTTCCTTGGCTCCCTGCTGTGAGGGGCAGCTTCCTTGGTCATGTGCTCTACTTCCCTGTTTGAACGCAGTGCACCCCCCGCCCCCAAGCTCAGAGGAGATTGCCAGTCCTCTAGAAAGGCAAGCCCAAACAACCCTTTCCTTTGTAAAAGTTTAGGTATTACAGCAGCACTCCAATTTCCCATATCAAAATCCCTATTAGAGTTGAGCATGGTGGTGCATACCTGTATTCTAGCCTTGGGGAAGCAGAGGAAGGAGGATCTTGAGTTAATGGCCAGCCTGGGCTACATAGAGAGACATAGTCTCACAGAACCAGCCCAACCCAACCCACCTGTCCCCGCTATGCCCCCCAACCCCCCGCCCCCAATCCCTGCCAGCTCTATTAGTTTTACTACTGTAACGACAACCATAGAAGCAGAGGCTTTGGGACAACACTAGCTGTAGCTGGATAGATGCTAAGCCACACAGGTGCCGCTAGGTTACCTGCAACTATCAGTAGGGCTGAGAACCTGTCTGGCCCAAGAGCCCATTTCTTGCTTTTTCCAGCCTCTGGAGGCCACCTAGGACCGCAGTTCAAAGCCAGCACAGGTAGGAAAGTCTAGGAGACTTTATTTTTGTGTGTAGGTTGTGTGGCTTCTCTCCCATAGGTAAGAAACATTTTTGGGGGGGGGGTGTCTGGTCGTGGGGCTTGAACTCTGGGCCTGGGCACTGTTCCTCAGCTCTTCAGCTCAAGGCTAGCGCTCTACCACTTGAGCCACAGCGCCACTTACGGCTTTTTTTCTTTTTGCTTATGTGGTGCTGAGCAATCGAACCCAGGGCCTCAGGCATGCAAGGCAAGCGCTCTACCACTGAGCCACCTTCCCAGCCCCCAGTAAGAAATTTTTGACTGGTCCGCAGGTGTGCTCAAATGGTAAAATGCCTGCCCAGTAAGTACAAGGCCCTGAGTTCAAATCCCAGGATTGTTAAAAGACAAAACGAAAGCCTTTTGAGTCCGGTACCGGTGGTTCATGCCTATAATCTTAGCTACTTTCACAAGGCTGACCAAGGTTTGACGGACCAAGGTTTGAAGCCAGCCTGGGCAGAGAAATCCATGAGACTCTTAGCTCCAAAATTAATCAGCAAGAAGCCAGATGTTGGAGGTGTAGCTCAAGTGGTAGAGCACCAGCCCTGAGTGAAAAAACAAAGCAAAAGTGCAAAGGCCTGAGTTTTGAGCCCCAGAATTGGCACAAAAGAAAACAAAAACCTTTTTGACTGTGAAGCTCCAATCTATGGCGGTTTATTTGCCATGCGTTCATCAATTTATGTGTGACACCAGCGGTAAAAGCAACAACAAAACCCAGACACAGAGAGACAGCCATGGAACAGAGAAGGAATGACAATTCTGGAGACTGAACTTCCTTTAATGCTCAAGAGGCAGTCCTCATCCTCACCACCTGCCCTCTGCTCTCTGGCCTCTGGCCTCTGCCCTCCCCCCTCTGCCCTCTGCCCTCTGCCCTCACACTGTGTGCCCTGAGGAAACCAAGCCCAGTGGCCCCTCCTTCTCTGGTCCTAGCACATGTCAGGCCACTGGGCCTACTTTGTGGCTTGCTGCCTTTGCATCCTGGGCTTCCAGGTGCTGCTCTTTTTTTGGTGTGTGTGTGTGTGTGTGTGTGTGTGTGTGTGTGCCAGTATTGAATTCAGGGCCTCGTGTTCAAACATGGCCTTTTTGCTCAAGCTGCACACTACCACCTGATACACAGCTCCACTTCCCATTGGTTAATTGGAAATAAGAGTCTTCCTTGCCACAGCTGGCTTTGAACCCTGATCCTCAGATCTCAGCCTTCTAGTAGCTAGGATGACAGGCGTGAGCCACCAGGGCCTGTTCCTCAGCTCTTGAATCTACCCTCCCCACCTGCCATGTGACAAGCTCCATCTACAGCTGCTGAGTCCCTGCCGGCTGCAGCTGGCTGCAGCCAGGTCGAGGTGGCTCTGCTCTACTACTGCCAGCGGATCCCCATGCCACACCGCCAATACCTGTTCTCAACTTCCGCCATTGTCGCCGGGACCCGGCCTGCCACCCTAACCCAAGAAGAGATGATGCGTCTGGCTGCAGGCCACTCGCACTGCCCTCCACGCCTGCAGGTCTCCCCACACGCCAGGCTCACACCCATCCACACCCACGCCCACCCCTGACACACTCACACAGCTCAAAGAAAGCTTCCAGTTCTGCCATATCATGCAGGCACCAGCTTCCTCCCGCCCTCCCTCCCTCCTTCCTCCCTCCTCACCCAGGTCCCTGGACATCCATTATGCCCCTGCAGACACACAACCTTCCCCAATCCTAAACAGGGCCACTCTGTCTGTCTTCAGCCCAGAAAGTCTGAGTATGGCTTCCACACTAGGCCCCACCCTCAGCAGCTGATGCCCAGCGGCGCCCAGGAACCCTGAGGCCCAGTCCATCCCTCCTGCCAGGCCCTGCTCAGAGGACTGGCCCATCTCGTGAAAGGCAAACAGATGTGTTTTATTGACAGCACACACACACAGCAGTTCCATTTCCCACAAACACCGCAACTGAGACTCGGTTAACTCTGCCAGGGGTCCTCCGGCGTCTGGGATTTGGTTAGGCCAAACACCAGGCTTTGCACGTCAGGTGTCAAAGGTCGAATTCAGCTCTGCACAAACACTGGTGGCCCCCAAAGCATAAGATCCGCGGGTGATCACGGGCCTCCCAGCTGGCCCTGCACACATTGTTTTTGTTGGCAAAGCAGTGTTACCACCAGGAGTCCTGCAGGGACGAACTCAGCAGGGATGGGGGGCACTGTCCTCGTGACTCAGGGAAGGCTGGAGGCTGGAGGCTGGTGAGGAGGCCCGGCCTACATTCTTGCCAATCTAGTCTCATGCCTCAGGTCCAGATACCTAGAACCCCAGGCCTCACTCCTACGGGAGTTGGCTAATTGCAGGTCCGGCGGCTGCTTCTCTGGGTGGACTTCCAACACTTTGTTCATCTTGGCAAAGATCTTGTTGATCTCAATGAATGTCTGGGCCTTGGTCTCGGGGACAACCATGGAGATGTAGATGGTGGTGAGGAGACAAATGACGGCAAAGATGATGAAGCTGTAGGGGCCGAGTCCCATCTGTGGGAGGAAGGGCTGCTGAGGCGGGCTGCGGCCACAGGGGCTGGCTGGGAGGTTCTTGCTCTGTGGCTTGGGGGTTGGGGTGACCCCGGAGCCCCAGGTCTCACTCACTTGAATGAATGGAAAGATGAGGCCCACAGTGAAGTTGGAGAGCCAGTGGATACTGCCGCCCACCATGAAGGCCGCTGGCCGAGAGGACTGCAGGAAGATCTCAGTGATGAACAGCGCAGGGATGGGACCTGGGGGAGACAAGGGTGGAAGGAAGGGAGGGAGGGAGGGAGGAGGGGTGGGAGGGGAGCAGAAGAGGAGGGGAGAGGGAAGGAGAAAGAGGAAAAGAGGGAGGAAGGGAGGGTGGGGAGGGGAAGAGGGAGCAGGCCACAAAATGTCCTAGCATCCCTGGGGGTACGGGGCATCTGCCAGCCCCCGGGGCTTAGGTGGCTGCAGGGAGAGGAGATGAATGGCAGTTGACACCGCCAGGTGGAATGGTGGTACCCTGTGCAGTGGGCGTGGCCCCTTGTTGGCCTCCTGCTCCTGATCTCAGAGGTCAGTGATTTCAGCCTACATAGCTCAGGACGGTCCCCGGTCTGGGGACTGGCAGAGAGGGCGAGGCCACATCAGGGCCACATCTGCCCTGCCTGGAGCCTCTCACAGAAGCTCAAGCTACAGGTTTCCAGGACATGAGAGGGGCCCTGGGGCACGTACTGGGCCCGAGGGCGTGTCCAATGACGTAGGCGATGACGCAGGTGATGCTGATGTATGGCATCCAGGAGACCTGGTCCTGGGGGTGGGGACAGGTGGTTGGTTAGCGCCTGGCAAAGCAAAGGCCAGCTGGGCGGGCAGCTGAGGGGCTGGGCCCCTGAGGGACAGCCTCTGTGCCCGGGGGTGGAGCAGGGCCTGGCTGGGGGGGATGGCTCCTAGCTGGAGGTCCTGGCTGAGGTGGGGGGAGAAAGGGTCCTGGCTGGGGGGGAGGGCTCCTGGCAGGTGGGGAGGGCTCTTGACTGGTGGTCCTGGCTGGGGGAGAGGGCTCCTGGTTGGGAGGGAGGGCTCCTGGCTGGGGGTCCTGGGTGGGGGGGAGGGCTCCTGATGGGGGTCCTGGCTGGGGGGAGGGCTCGTGGCTGGGGGAAGGCTCCTGGGTGCTCCAGAAGCCACCTCTGCAAACTCAGGGAAACCCATGCAGATGGTGGACGGATGGGGTTTGCTAGGACCAGGTCACTTTGATGTTCTCCTTGCGGGTGGGGTTGGCACCTGCAGCACCAGCGCGATCGTCAGCACCACACAGGCCGAGAAACAGGTGGAGAAGCCCAGCAGGAGCAGCCGCCGCCGTCCCCAGAGCTCCACCACAAACACCTGGAGGAGGGAGGTGGGGGGACTCAGAGGCCAAGTGCCCCACGGGAAAGCTCTCCTTGCCCCTCACAGCCCCTTCCAAGGGGCCCCAGGGCTGTGTGCCCACATATATGCACGCAGCTGCATGCTTGTGCCCACAGCTCACGCCCAAGAGTGGACCGTGGGGGGCCTGGCCATTGTCCCCGGACCCTGGTCCCTGCTCTTGGGCTAGACTTGTGACCCTGGGGCACGTTTAAAACCCGAGCCCTCTATGACCCTAGAGAGCTGGATCTGGGGGTGCAGCTGAGAGCGTGCACGGAGGCCGGGGTCCCACCCTGGGGGCTGGGGCCCCACTGGGGTACCGCTCTGGCACGGAGCCATGGGCGACAGACTCACGCAGGACCACAGGTGCCCTGCCGAGGAAGGGACCCCCCATTCCAATCATGCTCAGCGGCCCTAGACCTTAGGGACAGGACCAGAGCCCCCCCCACGTGTGGGAGCGTCTGGAGTGGGGTGGGCGTCCCGGGTGGGGGCCCCAGGGCTGGTCCCCACGGAGGCTGGCTGGCTTTCAGCCGCTCAGGCCGCGTCCCTCCTCCGTGGGGACCTTCCCACAGCACCGCGATCCCTCCTGCCCTGTCACTCACAGTGACGATGGTCATGACCACGTTGACGGCGCCCGTGCCGGCCGTCACGTACTGCACGTCGCTGCTGGCCACGCCGGCGCTCAGGTAGATCTGGTCTGCGTAGTAGTAGATCTGGAAGGTAAGGCAGATGCCGGGCTGGGGCGGGGGGGCAGCTCCAGGACAGCCCCCCAGCCCGTGGGCCGCCCCGTTACCGCGTTCACTCCGGACAGCTGCTGGCCGCCCATGAGGACGATGACGGAGATGAGCTGCCAGCGCCAGTGGCGCAGGCGGAACAGCTTCCACGGGGACACGGAGCCCTCGGCCCGCTCCGCCTCGTCCTCGCGCGCGATCTCCTTCATCTCCGCGTCCACGTCGTCCCAGCCACGCAGCCTCTGCAGGGCTGGGGGGGCAGCGTGCTCAGCCAGAGCTGCTACGGGCAGGGGGAGGCAGGGGTGGGGGCAGCGTGCTCAGCCAGAGCTGCTGCGGGCAGGGGGAGGTAGGGGGGCAGCTCACCCTTCCTGGCGGCCTCGGGGTCCCTCTTCTGGATGAGCAGGTAGCGGGGGCTCTCGGGGAAGAAGGGCAGGATCAGGAGCTGCAGCACCGCGGGGATCCCGGTCAGCGCCAGGAGGAAGGGCCAGCCTGCGAGCAAGGCGCTGCTGTCACGTGGGCCTCCGGACCTGGCCAGCCCGGTGCCTGCCACCTGCCCTCTGTGTCCCTCTGCCCACCGCCAGCCATTGAGAGACAAACACTGGATCTGTGTCGGTCCTGGGGCTTGAACTCAGGGAGTAGATCCTGTCCCTAAGCCTGGTGCTCTACCACTCCCGCCACAGCTCTACTTCCAGCTTTTGGTGGTTTATTGGAGAGAAGAGTGTCTTGGAGCTGTCTGCCCTGGCAGGCATCAAACCACCTCAGGTCTGAGCCTTCTGAGGAGCTCAGATGGCAGGCGTGAGCCCCAGAACCCAGCGGAGATGGTCTGTGCTGGGCAGACTCTCAGTGGCTGCTCCTGCAAGCCTGAGGTCTGAAGGGCTGTGGTGCCTCTACAGGTGGACAAAGTAGAAAGTCCAGCAAATCCAAGTGCTGGTGGGAACACAGGCCATGCGGATCATCGTACGGGTGTGTGGTGTCCTGTGGGTGCAAAGGCCCTGGGCACACTCCATCCACTGGCTTGCTCATTCACCCCTACTTTATGCTCAGAAGCTCGAGCCTAGGACCCCAGGACACCTGAGTGGTCAGAAAAGCACTGGTTACAGAATCAAAACCTGCCTGTGTGCTGGTGCTTCACCCCTGTAATCCTAACCACTCAGGAGGCTGAGATCTGGGGGTTGAGGTTCAAGGCGAACCCAGGCAGGAAAGTCTGTGAGAATTTTTTAAAAAATCAGTCATGGGGCTTGAACTCAGGGCCTGTTGTCCTTGAGCTCTTTTGCTCAAGGCTAGTGCTCTACCACTTGGAACCATATACTATAGCTCTACTTCCAGTTTTCTTGTGGTTAATGGGAAGTAAATGTCTGTTCTGGCTAGGTGCTGGTGGCTCACACATGTCATTCTAGCTACTCAAAAGGCTGAGATCTGAGGATCACAGTTCAAAGCCAGCCTGGGCAGGAAAGTCCATAAGATTCTTATCTCCAATTAACCACCAGAAAACTGCAGATGGGGCTGTGGCTTAAGTGGTAGAGCACTCTCTTGAGTTGAAGAGCTAAGGGACAGCTCCCAGGCCCAGAGTTCAAGCCCCACAACCAGAAAAAGAAAAAGAAAAAGAAAGTCTCTCCTGGGTTGGCTTTGAACTGTGATCCTCAGATCTCAGCCTCCTGAGTAGGTAGAATTACAGGCACAAGCCATCAGCACCCAGTGAGATTCTTATCTCCAAGTAACCACCAGAAAACTGGAAGTGAAGCTGTGGTTCAAAGTGGTAAAGCACTAACTCAGAGCACAAAAGCTCAGGAACAACACCCAGGCCCTAGGATTGGGTGCCAGTATGGGCACAGATAAAGTTCACATTGACTGTGGCCACCCAGTGATGACAATGAAGCCATCTATGGCCTGGCTGTATCTCCTAGGCAGGACCTAACAAGCTACACAAAGTGACATCCTTGAGTCAAGTTCAGACTCGGGGGACATTAACCTGGTCACCACCAAAGTAGTGAGGCTGGAGGCAAGCAAGGCAAAGGCAGCTATAGCTGGCCACCTGTAGTTCATAGTTCATATCTGTCATCCTAGCTACCCCAGAGGCTGAGATCTGAGGATTGAGATTCCAAGCCAGCCCAGGCAGGAAAGCCTGTGAGATTCTTATCTTCACTTAACCACCTAAAAAGTCAGAAGTGGAGCTATGGTTCAAACAGTAGAGTGCCAACCTTGAGCAAAAAAAAAAAAAAAAAGGCTAAAACAAGCAGACAAACAAGTAAATAAATGGGCAGGGGCAGGGCATGATTGAGGGCACGCAGAAGCGCTGGAGGGGCCAAGGGGACTCTATCTAGACCTGGCAAATGATCATGAAGGTGTTTGCTTTCTAGCTGATTTCTCTACGTCTTTTCCTTTGTTGTGAATCATACCACCATGTGGGAAATACTTGGACTCCATAAGCCAGTACTGGGGCTCCTATCTGTGTGGTGGCGCCCCAGCCCACCTGCCTCGGCTCCAGGGCTCGCAGCCTGGGACCGTCTTGGGCAAGGAATTGCCCGGGGTGCTGTCACCAAGCTTACTTCCTCCCATAGTGTTCGGTGGGCGAGGTACCAGGACCACCCATTCCACAGGGGAGGTCTGCTGCAGGGTCATTTGGACCTTGGGAGCAAAGCTGAGGCGGGCGGAAGCAGCAGCCCTCTAGCACGAGGCTGACAGACACATCTAACTTAAGGCTGTAAGCTCCTGACAACCCATGACCTCTGGATTCAGAGTGTGTGTGCATGTGCACCAGCACTGAGGCTTGAACTCAGGGCCTGGGCACTGCCCCTTAGCTTTTTCACTCAGGCCTGGTGCTCTAGCACTCAAGCCATAGCTCCACTTCCAGCTTTTTGGTGGTTAGTTGGAGTAAGAGCCTCGCAGACTCTCCTGCCCGGGCTGTCTTCAGATCTCGGTCCACAGGTGTCAGCTCCTGAGTTGCCCCAGTGTCTAGCAGCTTCCTTTCTGGTGTGTGGAGTGGGCTGGTCACCGAGCCTTGGTCACAGTGCTGCGGCAAGGCCGGGGACAGGGCCCAGGAACCCTGAGCACAGTCTCTGGCACGTTGGTGGCTGTCACTGCAGCGTGCCGGCCTCTGTGTGGACAGACGCAGCGCGGGCCCTTCCCTTCTCCAGCTGCTCGCCATTTCCTAAGGGAACCTGTCACTGGAGCTCAGTCTTGGGCGCTGCAGCCTGGGGCCCCACTGGGGTCTGGGCCACTGCCCCATGGACAGAAGCACATTAGTGTCCTGGCCTGAGGAATGGGGTGGGGTGAGAGGCGGGGGAGCTGGGACTCACCCGTCTCATTTGCTAGAACATTCCGAAGGCCGACCAGCTGAGCCACAAGGATGCCGACAGTGATGAAGAGCTGGGGCACCACTCCAAGGGCCCCCCTCAGGTTTTTGGGGGCCAGCTCCCCTAAGTACATAGGGACCACGTTGGAAGAGACACCTGGGGGAGGGGGTGGGATGAAAACACAGTTAGGAAAAAGCATCCTGGCAGTGGGCGCTGCTGACTCACGCCTGTCAGCCTAGAAGCTGAGATCCGAGGATCTCGGTTCAAAGCCAGCCTGGGCAAGGAAAATCCATGAGACTCTTTTGTTTTTTTTTTAATTTGAAAATTTTAATTTATTTAGTTTGTAATGTGTCGTGAGACTTTTATCTTCAATTAACCACCAGAAAACTGGAAGTGGTGCTGTGGCTCAAGTGGTAGAGTGCTCACCATGAGCTGAAGAACTCAGGGACAATGCCCAGGCCCAGAGTTCAAGGCCCACGACCAACAAAAAACCTCCAAAACACAAAGAACATCTTGGCACAGTTGAGCTGTGGCTTCAAAGGAAAGCTATTCTCTCCTGGGCCAGCATTTCTTTAGGATAGAAACAGGGAATATAAATGCTGCTTTTTATTCTCAGTCCCTCAGACTTTAAGGAAAGAGAAGTCAAGCCAGGTACTGGTGGCTCAGGCCTGTCATCCTAGCTACTCAGCAGGCTGAGATCTGAGGATGGTGATTCAAAGGCAGCCCAAGCAGGAAAATCTTATCTCCAATTAAATCACCAGAAAGCTGGAAGTGGATCCATGGCTTGAGTGGTAGAGCTTAGCAAGAGTGTAAGATCCTGAGTACAAGTCCCAGTACACACACACACAGCATTGTAGAAACAAAAAAGGCATTGCAGTATGGTCTCCCTTGAAGGATTATATATCTTTCAAGAACTTTTTGAGCCCTGATCATATAAAATAATATTTATTGAAATGAAATCCAGGAAATGGAACCATTTTTTTTCCTTTTCTTTTTGTCTTTTTTTTTTTTGAGTCTGGTTGTGGGGCCTGAACTCTGGGCCTGGGCGCTGTCCCTCAGCTCTTCAGCTCAAGGCTAGCACTCTAGCCTTGAGCCACAGCGCCACTTCTGGCTTTTTTCTTTTTGCTTATGTGGTGCTGGGGAATAGAACCCAGGGCCTCATCCATTACAAGGCAAGTGCTCTACCACTGAGCCACCTTCCCAGCCCCTTGCTTGTTTATGCATCTTTGGACAGCACCCAGGCCTAGAGTTCAAGCCCCACCACCGGCAAAAAAAAAAAAAAAAAAGAAAAGAAAGGAAAGGAAAAGAGAAGAGAAGAAAAGAAAATGAGCCAGGCATTGGTGGCTCACACCTGTAATCCTAGCTATTCAGGAGGCTGAGATCTGAGGATTGCAGTTCAAAGCCAGCTCGGGCAGAGAAGTCCGTGAGACTATCTTCAATAAACCACCAGAAAACCGGAAGGGGCACTGTGGCTCAAGTGGTAGAGCGCTCGCCTTATGCTGAAGAGAACAGGGACAGCACCCAAGCCCAGAGTTCAAGACCCACAACTGACAAAAAAAAAAAAAGAAAGAAAAGAAAAAGAAAATGAAGTATACAACTTGTGGGTGGAGATGCGAGGGAAAAAGTGGGAGATAGGGGCTGGGAAGGTGGCTCAGTGGTAGAGCACTTGCCTTGTATGCTCGAGGCCCTGGGTTCGATTCTTCAGCACCACATAAGAAAAAAGCTGGAAGTGGCACTGTGGCTCAAGTGGTAGAGCACTAGCCTTGAGCTGAAGAGCTGAGGGACAGTGCCCAGTCCCAGAGTTCAGGCCCCATGACTGGACCCAAAGAAAAAAAAAAAACAAAACACAAAGACTTCAGAGAAGAGAAGGAGAAAAATAAAGTGTCCTGAATCTAGTTTCTTAAAAAAAAAAACAATGGCTGGGAAGGTGGCTCAGTGGTAGAGCACATGCCTTGCATGCCAGAGGCCCTGGGTGCAATTCCTCAGCACCACATAAGCAAAAAGAAAAAAGCCAGAAGTGGCGCTGTGGCTCAAGTGGTAGAGCGCTAGCCTTGAGCTGAAGAGCTGAGGGACAGCGCCCAGGCCCAGAGTTCAGGCCCCATGACCGGACCCAAAAAAAAAAAAAACAAAAAAAACTGGGAGATAGCAAGGGAAAGGTTGACATTGTCCAATCAGAAATGTACTCTCTGACTCATGTAACTGGAATCCCTCTGTACATCGCCTTTATACTAACAATAGAAAAAAAGATAACCTATTTAGCGTCAGCTTGGGTCTTGAAGCTTCAGAGCCCGTGGGCTGGTTTAGAGCCCGGTAGGTGAGCCTCCCTTCACCTTGATGTCCAGAATGGTAGAAGGGCCGGATGGCCACAGTGCGCACCTGCACAGATTCCCACCAGGAGTCTGGAGAAGATGATGAGCTCGTACAGCCTGGCAACTTTACTGCAGCCCATCAATATTGCGGGCACCACTGAGAAGATGTTGTTGAGTAATAACCCGCCTTTTCTGTAGAGGAACAAAATGGTGGTTAGCGTGGCTTCAGGATTCCCTCATTCATCATCGGTTGATGGTTTATTCAATTTGATTATTTTTTTTTGTGCCAGTCCTGGGGCTGCACTCAACCATATATGCTTGTTTGGCTCTTTTGCTCCAGGCTGGTGCTTTACTACTTGAGCTACACCTCTATTTCTGGCTTTTTGTATTTTATTTTAATTTTTGCCAGTTCTGGGGCTTGAATTGAGGGCCTGGGAACTGTCCCTGAGCCTCTTTTGCTCAAGGCTAGCACTCTACTACTTAAACCACAGTGCCTCTTCCAGCTTTATTGAAGTCTCATGGCCTTTCCTGCGTGGGCTGGCTTTGAATTGCAATCCTCAGATCTTAGCCTCCTGAGTAGCTAGGAATACAGATATGAGCCACTGGTGCCTGGCTATTTCTGGCTTTTTGATGCTTACTTAATTAGAGATAAGAGTCTTACAGACTTTCCTGCCCAGGCTGGCGCTGAACGGAGATCCTCAGATCTCAGTCTCTAGAGTAGCTAGGATTATCAGACATGAGCCATCAATGAGTAGCTCTGGTCTGGTCTTTTGTATAACCACAGTGAACACACCCAAACAAACACTACAATGATTATTAGCCTCATCTCATAGTAAGGATTCTAGTTTTAGCCTATGCTTAAGAACGGATGCTGACGGTCTATGAATTTCAGGGAATTAAAAATTTCTCTCCCACCAGGCGCTGGTGGCTCCTGCCTGTAATCCTAGCGACTCTAGAGGCGGAGATCTGAGGATTGTAGTTCAAAGCCATCTTGGGCAGAGAAATCAGAGAGACTCTCTCACCAATGAAGTAGTGGAGACATTGCTGGCAAACAATCCAAGGCCCTGTGCTCAAATCCTAGTACTGAGAGGAAAACGCAAGTCCCTCCCCTTACCTGCCGAATTGATTCACCAGAGGACCAGCCAAGATGGCCCCGATGAAGCCACCGAAGGGGAACATGGACACGGTGAGCGACCAGAGGAGAGTCAAGGGGAATTCGTCGATGAGCTCCCCTGTCTTCTCATTGTAGGTGTCGTTGTAAAACTGCTTCATGATCTGGGGGACAGAGGACACAGACGCAAGGGTCGCTCATCTGCCTTTGCAGAAAGCCCAGCTCAAGCTGTCAGGCTCGGCCCACAGCCCTCCAGACCAGCAGGTTGCTCTGCTACCCAGGGGGAAGGAAGGCTAGCTGCCCGGGACCTGGGGCTTGAGCTCTTTTGCTTAAGGCTAGAGAGCTCTTCCACTTGAGCCACAGCTCCTCTTCTGGCTTTTTGGTGGTTCCTTGGAGATAAAGAGTCTCATAGACTTTCCTGTCCAGGCTGGTTTTGAACCAAGATCCACTGATCTCAGCCTCCTGAGTAGCTAGGATTACGAGGGTGGAGGGGTGGCATTTCTGCCCTGGCTTAGCCTGGTCCATGGAGGCCCAGTAGGGCCAGTTTCTGCATGCCCTGATGGGGGAAGCTGGGGATGGGTTTGGCCTGGCCCTGTGGCCAGACTGGTTGGGAAGGTGTCTCCCCCTCCCTGCAGGGCCTTCGTGGTGCCCTCCTGGGCCCCAGCTGCTTCCATTCAGGAACAGAGGCCTGCTCTGCGCAGCGACTTACCTCTGATGGTGAGTTCACGGCAGCCACGTTGTACCCATACTGGAAGGAGGAGCCAAAGGCTGATATCAGGGTGGCAATGGCCAACACAAGGGTGAGCCTCTGCGAGAGAAATGGGGCGAGGGTCAGAGGCCGTGGGGGTGGGGGGGTTATGGGCCCCAAAGGAACAAGGAGAGGTGTCTCCAACCTCCTCTCCTCCCTTCCAGGGGAAAGAAAGGGGCGGGGGGCTGCATTGGCATTGCTTGTTCCTTTTCAGATGAGGTATCCTCGGCTGGGGCTGAGGTCCAGGGCTCGTGCGATGGATCCTCCTTCCTCAGCCTCCTGAGAATGTGGGTGCAGTGGCATGCGGCTCACTGTGGCGCTGGCCCGGGTTGACATGGGGAAAGCCACACCCACGTGACCTGCGGATGGCTTCTGTCGCTTTCTCCCCGTGGGCTGCACTTGCAGCCACACCGTGCGCTGAGCCTCATCTCCTCCCCGCCCTCCCAAAGTCCATAGCGAGAAATGTGAAGCTAAATTTGCCTGGACTTTGGCTCTCACAGGCAGAAGCTAAAGTGGAAATGTTTAACTGGATCTGCGGGATTTCCACTCAGGACGCACTGCCCACGGTGTCTCCTGTGATCCAGGGAGGACCTCTGGACGGAGCTTAAGTTAAGGAGGGGCTTGTAGCCAGCCACTGGTGGCTCAGGCCTTGTCATCCCAGCTACTCAGGAGGCTGAGATCTGAGGATCGCGGTTCCAAGCCAGCCCGGGCAGGAAAGTTTGAGAGTCTTATTTCTGAAGAAACACCAGAATGCCGGAAGTGGTGTTGTGGCTCCATGAGTGCAAGCCCCTGTACAGACAGACAGACACACACAGACACACACAGATACACACACACACACACACACACACACACACACACACACACACACACAAATCCCCTAATTCTCTTCCCAGATTAACTACAAAAGATTAATGACAACAGCTGGAGGCTTGTTTCACCCGCACGTGCAGCTCCTCCCCGCAGCGGCTGGACCAGGGCTGAGGCTAAAGTCCTTCTGGTGGGAAGGGGGTTCTGAGCACCCCAGGGCTCAACCGGCAGTGCGGGGCTCTGCCAGGCTCGGCAGATTCCCCGCTTCCTGCCAAAGACCCCAGACTACAGTTGTGTTGCACAGGTCCATGAAATCACCGTCCACGCAGGCAGGGAGACACCATAGGTTGTTAGTTAAAGCATGAGGGAATTAAGAACCATGAAGGAAAGGCACAGGGAGCTGGGGAGTGGCATTGGAGCTGGGTTCCAGCGGCGAGGCAGCCAAGGGGAGGAGAGAGGATGCTGCAGACAGAAGGAGGCCACAGGCAGAGGCCGTGGGGCAAGGAAGCAGCTCCAAATCTTGCCTTTGGAGTAGGACTCAAGTAGCTGGGCTTTAGAAAGGAAGACAAGTTAGGGCCAGGGCCACAGGACAAGTGGGACTTTCATTGCCTGGGCTTTGCACTCCAGGACAGTAGGAGAAAGGACTCCTAAAAAACTAAAGAGAAAGAAAAAGGAAATGAATGCCAGACGCCAGTGGCTCATGCCTGAAATCCTAGCTACTCAGGAGGCTGAGATCTGAGGATCCCAGTTCAAAGCAGGCCTTGGCAGGAAAGTCCGTGAGACTCATATCTCCAATTAACTACCAGAACACGGGAAGTGGCGCTGTGGCTCAAGTTGTAGAGTGCTTGCCTTGAGCTGAAGAGCTCAGGGACAGTGCCCAGGCCCAGAGTTCAAGCCTCATGACAGACAAAAATACATACATACATATACAAATACATACTTACATACATAAAAAATAAATAAAATAAAATGATAGGTCCCTGCCCAGGGCAGCCGGCAGCAGATGGGGGCTGGATAGGGCGTGAGGGCTGCTGGATAGGGGGTGAGGGCTGTTGTAGAAGCAAGGAGGGTGAACCTTGGGGACTCTGCAGGAAGGAGAAGTCACCATGACACACCCACGGAATGGTGAGACCCAAGAAGCCAGGCCTGTTGTGCTGGCAGGGACGTGGAGGAGACCAGCGTGCTCCTTCACCCCATCGGAGAAGTTTGGTAATAAGTTTATGACCCAGAACCTTTGCTCGTAGGTTTAAAAATCAAGAGAAGTGAAACCCAGCCACTGCGCTGGGTGGCTCCTGCCTATAATCCCAGCTGCTCTGGAGGCTGAGATCTGAGGATCATGATTCAAAGCCAGCCAGGGGAGGAAAGTCTTATCTCCAGTTAACCATCAAAAAGCCAGAAGTGGAGATGTGGCTCAAGTGGTAGAGTACCAGCTCTAATCAAAATGCTAAGGAGTTGAAGCTCTAGTACTGGCATAAAAAAATTTAAACAAAACAAAAAAGACATGAGAGACAAAATCTCACGCCAACTTCTCAGAGAACTGTCTACCCATTTGCTTTAATATAGAAACTACATGTTTTTTGTCTTTTATTTTATTTGGCAGTCCTGGGCCTTGAACTCAGGGCCTGGGCACTGTCCCTGAGCTGCTTTTGCTCAAGGCTAGCACTCTACCACTTGAGCCACAGCGCCACTTCCGGCTTTTTCTGTTTCTGTGGTGCTGAGGAATCAAACCCAGGACCTCATGCATGCGAGGCAAGCACTCTACCACTGAGCCACCTTGCCAGGCCTCTTTAATTTTTTGTCGTGGGACCAAACCCAGGACATCGCCCTCGTGAGGGAAGCGCTTGCCCCAGAGCCACAGCCCTGCCCAGGGACTTAGGTTTATTAAGCCAGGCTTTGATAACCCGGCACATGTGAAGCAGCGACCACACGGAGGCAGAGACGTTTAAGATCCGCCTCAGCAGATTTGCAGCAAGGCTGTGGTTAACAACGGTTCCCAGGAAGCGAGCTCCCAGAGCCTCCTCTTCGTCCTGCAGAAACCACACTTTGTACCCATCACCAGCTCGCCCTTTAGCCCTTGCTGCTGCCCTTGGCAACCATGGTGCACATTGCTCTGGAGTGTGTCAGATTTCACTCATTCCGCAGGGGGGGCGGTCGGATTTCATGCATTCTGGGGGTAGGGCGGGAGGTGGGCAGGAGATATGGCAGCAGGCCAGGCCATTTAGCATCCTGTGTTCCATGTCAAGCCAAGTTGCAAACTGCAGAATAGATTTTCCTTCTTTTTAAAACAGTGATAAGTCCCAGGCTAGTGGCTCACACCTGTAATCTTAGCTACTCAGAAGCTGAGATTGGAGGGTCAAAGTTCAAAGCCAACCCCGGGCAGGACAGTCTGTGAGTCTCTTGTTTCTTTTCTTTTCTTTTTCTTGAGGGGGGTGTCAATCATGAGGCTTGAACTCAGGACCTGGACGCTGTCACTGGGGCTTTTTGCTCAAGGCTAGTACTCTACCACTTGAGCCACAGCGCCACTTCTGGTTTTCTGGTGGATGCCTGGGCTGACTTCAAACCAAGATCCTCAGATGTCAGCCTCCTGAGTAGCTAGGATGATAGGCGTGAGCCACAGGTCTATAGGACTCTTTATCTCCACTAAACCATTTAAAAGCTGGAAACAGAGCTGCGCCTAATGGTAGCGTGTTAGCCTTGAGCAAAAACAGCTCAGGGACAGCACCCAGCCCTGAGTTCAAGCCTCAGTGCCAGCACACACACACACAAACACACACACACACGCACACACACGATGAATAAAATAGTAACCAATCTTTTACTCTGAATCCTGTCGCAGGTGAATTTCGCTCTCTGTCAAGGTGGTTAATTTGAAAGCCAGGGGTATTGCTTTCCTTTTTCTCCCCTCTCCATACCAGTGCAGGAGGAGGAAGAAAAGGGTTGGAGGCTGGGGTTTAGCTCGGCCGGAGGGTGCATGCCCAGTGCAGGGAAAGCCTCAACTTCTACCCTTAATGCTGTGAAAAAAAAAGTTGTGGCCCTGGGCTGGGTCAGGGTCTGGGCTGAAGTCAACCTGCCGCCCGCTGGTTACAAGGCGGCCCCAGCAGCCTGCCACAGGGAGAAGCCAGGCCTCCAGGACCAGCACCACACAGCCACCAAGGGGCCGAGAGCTGGGCCCCATGCTGCCAGGAGAGGGCGCGCTACAGCAGGCCTGACCAGCCTGGGGTTCCTTCCAGAAGAAGGGGGGGAGGAAGGGGGGGAGCTGTGATCACTCCTGCCTTTGGCATGAGGCTGTCTGAATCATTTCCGTTCACAGTCTTGATCTTTTTTTAGGGTGCCCAGTGGTGCTGGGCACTTCCATTGCTCACCCCCCCCCCACCCCCATCTGTCTGTCTGTCTCTCTCTTTCTCTCTAAGTAGAACTCGGCCTCACATTCCTGCTTAGCTTTGCCACTCAAGGCCGTGGGCTCTACCACTTGAGCCACGCCTCTGCTCCCATACACTTCTGTCTCTTCTTTTCTTGCTAGTCCTGGGGCTTGAACTCAGGGCCCCAGCACTGTCCTGAGTTTCTTTTGATCAAGGCTAGCCCTCTACCACTTGAGCCACAGCACCACTTCTGGCTTTTTCCATGTATGTGGTGCTGAGGCATTGAACCCAGGGCTTCATGTATCAAGGCAAGCGCTCTACCGCTGAGCCACCTTCTCAGCCCCCACCCCCATGCACTTCTCTTTGAACAGCAGGCCTGAAGCTGCCCAGGACCTCCTGTCACTCCCCCCCCCCCCCCATTCTTTTCCCATCAGACGTGCTAACACTTGATTTGCACAGCACTTCCTTTTTATGTCCTTTTTGTGGCAGTAGTAGAGTCTGAACTCTGGGCCACAAGCTTGGTAGCTGGGCAGGTGCTCTTCCACCTGAGCCACGACTCCTGCCCTGCCCAAGGCTTTCCAGATAGCTGCAGAGAAGGCGGGGGGCGGGGGGAGGGGTGGTACACACACAAAGCAGAGATTTCCAAAGAAGACAGGGAGGGCCGGCTCCGCCTGCTGGGACATGGGCTCCACATCTGGAGAGGGTGCTCCAGCCTCTGCGGGGAAAGGCCCGAGGGGCCCTAAAGTACCCTCCGATGCCAGCCAGTCCCTGTGGCACAGAATTGCCCAGCAGCAAACCTCAGTGGTGCCCTGGTCCCCGCACACTTTCTCAGGTAAGTGTTCAGCACCCACAGCAATCTTCCCTGCATTACAGGCGAGACAGGCGTTAAATAATGAAGCGAGCCCCCCCCCGCCTCGTCCCACACATGGGAGGCAGCAGGGACTCTGGCACGAGGGTCTGTCTCTGTATGCAAGCATCTTACAGCCGCACCTGAATAGCCAAGACGATGTCTGCCACTCGGGACCCTCGCCACACACTAGCAAGTGCTACTGGCAGGAGTAGAGTGTGGTGGCTCACGCCTGTAATCTCAGCTACTCAGGAGGCTGAGATGGGGAAGATCAGAGACCAGCCAGCCAGTCCAGCACTGTGACCCCAGCTAACGGGACAGGCTGTGAGCAGAAAGACCATGCTGAAGAGAGTCCTGGTAAGAGACATGAGACTCTGCTTTAGATATTACCACGGGGAGGAGGAGGAAGAGGTGGGGGAAGAGGAAGAAAAGGAGGAAGAGGAAGAAAGAATGAAAGTGCCTGCCTAGCAATCTCCGGGTTATGAATTCAAAACTGTTGTGCCAGCCGGGCGCTGGTGGCTCACACCTGTAATCCTAGCTACTCAGGAGGCTGAGATCTGAGGATCACGGTTCAAAGCCAGCCCAGGCAGGAAAGACTGTGAGACTCCTATCTCCAATAAACCACCAGAAAACCAGAAGTGGTGCTGTAGCTCAAGTGGTAGAGTGCTGGCCTTGAGCTGAAGAGCTGAGGGACAGCGCCCAGGCCCAGAGTTCAAGCCCCATGACCGACGAAAAAAAAAAAATACTGTTGTGCCATTACAAAGAAAAAAGGCTCAAATTCCTAAAAAGTGTTAAGAAATACAGATTATCTTCCTGTCTGCATTTCTGTTGTCTTTGGTCAAGGGACTCTGTAGTTCCACTGAATTTAGATTGAGGCGTGCGTGTCTATAAAAATCTTTTTTTGGGGGGGATGGCTGGGAAGGTGTTTCAGTGGTAGAGCGCTTGCCTCCCATGCCTGAGGCCCTGGCTTTGATTCCTCAGCACCACATAATCAGAAAAAGCCAGAAGTGGCGCTGTGGCTCAAGTGGTAGAGCGCTAGCTTTGAGCTGAAGAGCTGAGGGACAGTGCCCAGGCCCAGAGTTCAAGTCCTACAGCCGACAAACAACAACAACAACAAAAAAAAACCCAAAGCCAAAAAACCATCCAATATCAAATCCCATCAATCTTTTTGGGTGTTGAGCTTGTCATCGCGAAGCTTAGCTCGGCAACTTGCTGAAGAGGCTGGTGCAAATACTCTGAAGCCACAAATCAAAACGAGGCTCCCAGTGGGTGTGGCCACCATGCCTGCAATCCTAGCTCTAGGGAGACTGAGGCAGGAGAATCCTGAGTTCAGGTCCAGCCTGGGATTTTACAGTGCCAGCTTGTGTCTCTTCATGAAACAAAGTAAAGTAACCATTTACAATATCTCACTGTCTGCATGGAAGAATTTTTGTAAGAAACACATTTGCTTGGGGAATCTCTTCCTTTCCAAATCTTTTTTGTTTGTCAGTCATGGGGCTTGAACTCTGGGTCTCAGCTCTTCAGCTCAAGGCGGGTGCTCTACCCCTTGAGCCTTGTGCCACTTCTGGTTTTCTGATGGTTCATTGGTGAGAAGAATCTCACAGACTTTCCTGGCCAGGCTGGCTTTGAACTGCCATCCTCAGATCTCAACCTCCTCAGTAGCTAGGATTACAGGCGTGAGCCACCGGAGCCTGACTCATCTCCAAATCTTACTGCTAAGAAACAGGCCAAAGAAAAGAGAGGGAGGGAGGAGAAGGGAAAGGAAAGAAAGGGGAGGGGGCTGAGGTTTCTCTTGGGGTCCTTCTCCACAGCTTTGCCAATAGAATGAGTCTGAGGTGAGATGGCACAAACCTCCTATCCATGCCCTGGGAAGGCTGAGCCTGTGGCGGGGCGGGCCGAGGGTCAGCTGGGCCTCCCAGCTGCTCTGGCTGGCGGCCTGGGCCACACACTCACCCCCTTCCTCAGCTCTGGCTGCTCCATCCTCGCTTGCGCTGGCTGCTCTCTTCGCCTCCTCGAGGGACGCACACTCAAAGGCACTGTCTGGAAAGGAAGGCAGCGGCTGCACTTTGGACCGGCCAGCTCCCAGCCAATGGCATTTTTACAGCCAGTCTTGGTCAGAATAACCCTTTCGGGCACCCGGGCCGGCCTTCCTTTCGCTTCTGCTTTGACATGAAATGTCTGGGGTCTGGCTAGGATCGCGTGGTCTACAGTACTTCCCTACCTCACTTGTCCCCAGTCTCTGCACATCTGCCAGGAACACACGGAAAGCAACCGTGGCCCTCGCCCTACACCAACCCCAGGAAAGGGGGCAGCAGTCTCTCCAGTGGGGAGATCTTGCTCAGCAAACCATGCAAACAGCAACCATGCAACGTGTGTGTGTGTGTGTGTGTGTGTGTGTGTATCAGTCCTGGGGTTTGAACTCAGGACCTGGGTGTGTCCCTGAGTTTGTTTTGCTCAAGGCTAGCGCTCTACCACCTGAGCCACAGCACACTCTGGCTTTTTACTGGCTTATTGGAAACAAGAATCTCACAGACTTTCCTGCCTAGGCTGTCTGTGAACCACAATCCTCAGATCTCAGCTAGGATTACAGATGTGACCCTAAAGCCACCAGAGCTTGTCTTTTTGTGTTAGTATGGGTCGTATGAACTCAGGAACTCCTGATATTTCTGGCTTGATTTGAACCACGATCCTCAGACCTCAGCCTCATGAGTAGCTTGGATTACAGGTGCGTGCCACCAGCGCCCAGCTCTATACTTTGGTTGTTGTTGTTGTTGTTTATTGTTGCTTTCTTTTTCTTTTTCTTTTTTTTTTGGGGTCTGGTCGTGGGGCCTGAACTCTGGGCCTGGGCGCTGTCCCTCAGCTCTTCAGCTCAAGGCTAGCACTCTACCACTTGAGCCACAGCGCCACTTCCAGCTTTTTTTTTTTTGCTTATTTGGTGCTGAGGCATCGATCCCAGGGCCTCACGCATGCAAGGCAAGTGCTCTACCACTGAGCCACCTTCCTAGCCCCTTATTTTTCTTTTTTTGCACTGGGGATGGAACCCTGGATCTCAGATACTAAGGGTTCTCCACCTCTGAGCAATACCCCGCTCCCCTGCTCCATGAAGCACTCTCTGGAGAGGAAAAAGTTTCTTACTTTCCCAAGGGCCCAGACACAGTTTTCTGGGTGCTGGTCATCATGGGAGGGAATGACTTTGAATCCCTGCCTTTGTTAGCACAACAGGGAAACTGAGTCACAGGCGCTGGTCTCGGACTACCCAGTCATAGCCACAGCCCCTGGCCACCTCGTGCTCCTGTGTGTCCAGCAGCCAAAATCCAGAGCAAAGTCCTCCAGGCCGGCAGTGTGTCCATCTGTAAGGACAGGCTCCCAGGTGACTGGTGGTGGCACAAATCCAGTTTATTCAGTCCTACCCCCTCGTTCGTCCCTGATGGCCATGGGGACCCTCTGTGTGGAATACTGAGTGCTCTGTGTGGAGTACTGTGTGTGAGGTACTGTGTGGGGGAACTGAGCATTGTGTGTGGAGTACTGTGTGTAGGGTACTGTTCCTGACATCCAGACCAGAGTTCTGTGTGGCGTGGTTTGGTGTGTGTGTTTTGTGGTGTGTGTGTGTGGTATTATGTGGTATGTATGTGTGTGGTGTGTGTGTATGTGTGGTATGTGTGGTGTGTGTGGTGTGTGTGTGGTATGTGTGTTTGTGGTGTGGTATGTATGTGGTATGTGTGTGTGGTGTGTGTATGTGATGTGTGTGTGGTATGTGTGGTGTGTGTGTATGTGGTGTGATGTGTATGGTGTGTGTGGTGTGTGTATGTTGTATGTATGTGGTGTGTGTGTGTGGTGTGTGTGGTATGTATGTGGTGTGTGTGGTGTGTGGTGTGTGTGTGTGTGGTATGTATGTGGTGTTTGTGTGGTGTGTGGTATGTGTGTGTGTGGTATGTATGTGGTGTGTGTGTGTGGTGTGTATGGTATGTATGTGGTGTGTGGTGTGTGTTTGTGGTGTGGTATGTATGTGGTGTGTGGTGTATGTGGTGTGTGGCATATGTGTGTGTGGTGTGTATGTGTGGTGTGTGGTGTGTGTGTGGTGTGTGGTGTGTGTGTGGTGTATGTGGTGTGTGGTGTGTGGTGTGTGTGTGTGGTATGTATGTGGTGTGTATGGTATGTATGTGGTGTGTGGTGTGTGTTTGTGGTGTGGTATGTATGTGGTGTGTGGTGTATGTGCTGTGTGGCATATGTGTGTGTGGTGTGTGTGTGTGGTATGTATGTGGTGTGTATGGTATATATGTGGTATGTGGTGTGTGTTTGTGGTGTGGTATGTATGTGGTGTGTGGTGTATGTGCTGTGTGGCATATGTGTGTGTGTGGTGTGTGTGTGTGGTATGTGGTGTGTGTGTGGTGTGTGTGGTGTGTGTGGTGTATGTGGTGTGTGGTGTGTGTGTGGTGTGTGTGTTTGTGGTGTGGTATGTATGTGGTGTGTGTGTGTGTGTGTGTGTGTGGTGCGTATGTGTGTCCATTGCAGTGGAGACCTGAGTGTTTATTACTTCACGAGTCTTTGCTTTTTTTTTTGTCACAAGCCTACAACTCCGAGGTGAGGAGAATGTGTCTCCAGTTATAAGAAAATTCGAAAATCCTCCCCAAAGAGCTGTGTGTCAAGTGGCAGAGCACCAGCTGTGAGCTACAAAGCTCAGGCAGAGGCTCTGACCCACGCTCACGCCCCACTTCTGGCACACGCACACACAAATCACCACTTCACACCTCCCCCTTCACACTTCACATGCATATTATGGTTGCATAATCATGCAGGCAAGAAAAGTGAAAAACCCTCCAAAGAAAATGTTAGTGTCAGGGGAGGGGCTGCCCCCTGGGGAAGGAGGGGAAGGGGAAGGAGGGGAAGGGGGAAGGGGAAGGAGGGGAAGGGGGAAGGGGAAGGAGGGGAAGGGGGAAGGGGAAGGAGGGGAAGGGGGAAGGGGAAGGAGGGGAAGGGGGAAGGGGAAGGAGGGGAAGGGGGAAGAGGGGTACGTGTCATGCAGAGAAGTGGCAAGGGCTGGCACAGTGGCTCTAGCCTATCATTCTGGCCATTCAGGAGGTGGAGATCAGGAAGATCACAGTTCTAGGTGTGTAGGCAGGAGTTAACAAGACCCCATCTCAACCAACAGGCTTGGCCTAGTGCTGAGTGCATCTCATACTGGTTGAGGAGTGTGGAGATAGGAGGAATCCCAGGTCAGGCAGGGCAAAAGGCCAGAGCCTTCCAAATAGAGAGAAAGAACAAAAGAAAAAGAAAGAAGGAAAGGAAGGAAGGAAGGAAGGAAAGGAGGGAGGGAGGAAGGAAGGAAGGAAAGGAGGGAGGGAGGAAGGAAGGAAGGAAGGAGGAAGGAAGGAGGGAGGAAGGAAGGAAGGAAGGAAGGAAGGAAGGAAGGAAGGAAGGGAAGGGAAGGAAAGGAAGGAGGGAGGAGGAAGAAAGGAGGGAGGAAGGAAGGAGGGAGGGAGGGAGGAAGGGAGGAAGGAAGGAAGGAAGGAAGGGAAGGAAAGGAAGGAGGGAGGAAGGAAGGAAGAAGGAAGGAGGAAGGAAGGAGGGAGGAAGGGAGGAAGGAAGGAAGGAAGGAGGAAGGAAGGAAGGAAGGAAGGAGGGAGGAGGAAGGAGGAAGGAAGGAAGGAGGGAGGAGGAAGGAAGGAAGGAAGGAAGGAGGGAGGAGGAAGGAGGAAGGAGGGAGGGATGGTCATGTCAGGCCTAGCAGCTCAGGAGGACTCCCTGAGGCGCCCTGGGAGGGGTCGGGGGTCGAGGGGTCAAGGGTCAAAGCCCAGTGTAGCCCAGCGCGGCCCGCCCTCCTCCCCGGGAGCCCCGGGCCCTAACGCTCCCTCCGGGGCGCGGCCGTGACCCCAGGACCCGGATGGCGGCCGCGGCCTGGGGGCCGGAACCAGGCAGGGCGCCCGGAAGCCCAACCGCCAGCCCTCCGTCTCCGCCCGGCCGGTCACCTGTCCGAGTCCCATGTTGGTGTCCCGTGTCTGAGTCTCGGGCCCGCGTCCCGAGTCCCGTGTCCCGTGCCCCGTGTCCCGCCCCGTGTCCCGCCCCGTGCCCCGCCCCGTGTCCCGTGTCCCGCCCCGTGCCCCCGCCCCGTGTCCCGCCCCGTGTCCCGCCCCGTGTCCCGCCCCGTGTCCCGCCCCGTGTCCCGCCCCGTGTCCCGTGTCCCGCCCCGTGTCCCGTGTCCCGCCCCGTGTCCCGCCCCGTGCCCCGCCCCGTGTCCCGTGTCCCGCCCCGTGCCCCCGCCCCGTGTCCCGCCCCGTGTCCCGCCCCGTGTCCCGCCCCGTGTCCCGCCCCGTGTCCCGTGTCCCGCCCCGTGTCCCGTGTCCCGCCCCGTGTCCCGTGTCCCGTGTCCCGCCCCGTGTCCCGCCCCGTGTCCCGTGTCCCGCCCCGTGTCCCCGCCCCGTGTCCCCGCCCCGTGTCCCGCCCCGTGTCCCCGCCCCGTGTCCCCGCCCCGTGTCCCGTGTCCCGCCCCGTGTCCCGCCCCGTGTCCCCGCCCCGTGTCCCGTGTCCCGTGTCCCGCCCCGTGTCCCGTGTCCCGTGTCCCGCCCCGTGTCCCGTGTCCCGCCCCGTGTCCCGTGTCCCGTGTCCCGCCCCGTGTCCCGTGTCCCGTGTCCCGCCCCGTGTCCCGTGTCCTGTGTCCCGCCCCGTGTCCCGCCCCGTGTCCCGCCCCGTGTCCCGTGTCCCGCCCCGTGTCCCGTGTCCCGTGTCCCGCCCCGTGTCCCGCCCCGTGTCCCGCCCCGTGTCCCGTGTCCCGCCCCGTGTCCCGTGTCCTGTGTCCCGCCCCGTGTCCCACCCCGTGTCCCATGTCCCGCCCCATGTCCCGTGTCCCTCCCCGTGCCCCGTGTCCCGCCCTGTGTCCCGTGTCCCTCCCCGTGTCCCGTGTCCCGCCCCGTGTTCTGCCCCGTGTCCCGCCCCGTGTCCCGTGTCCCGCCCCGTGTCCCGTGTCCCGCCCCGTGTCCCGTGTCCCGCCCCGTGTCCCGCCCCGTGTCCCGCCCCGTGTCCCGCCCCGTGCCCCAT